TGAAATTGTACTACAAAACTACAGTGATTAAAAACAGCATGGTACTGGCAAAAAAAAAAAAAAAAAAAAAAAATCAGACCTGAGGATCAGTGGAACAGACTAGAAGATGCAGAAATAACTAGAAACACACACAGCTAACTTATCTTTGACAAAAGAGCCAAACACCTTCACTGGAAGAAAGATAGCCACTTTAATAAATGGTGCTGGAAAAATTGGCTTTCCAATTGCCAAAGACTAAAACTAGACACATATCTCTCACCATGCACTAAACTAAAATTGTAATGGACCAAAGATCTAAATATTAAAATAGACACACTAAACTGGCTGGAAGATAGAATAGATAGGGCTCTTGAAGACACTGGTATAGGCAAAGACTATGAACAAAATGCCCATAACACAGGAAATAGCAGAAAGAATCAACAACTGGGATCTCATCTTATGGAAAAGCTTTTGCACAGCAAGAGAAACCATCACCAGAGTAAAGAGATAACCCACAGAGTGGGAAAATTTTTTGCCAGTTGTTCCTCAGACAAGGATTAATATCTAGAATATATAAAGAGCTCAAATAAAATCAGAGCCCCCAAATTTAATGATCCAGTCCAAAAATGGGCGTCTGAATGAATAGCCACTTCTTAGATGAAGAAACAGAAATGGCAGGTAAATATATGAAAAAATATTTAACAAAACTGGTCATTCAAGAGATGCAAATTAAAACAATGCTGAGATTCCATCTCACTCTAGAAAGAATGGCTATTATCAAGAAAGCAGCAAATAACAAATGCTGGCAGGGCTGTGGGGAAAAAGGAACCCTTCTACACTGTTGGTAGGAGAGTAGTCTGGTGCAAACACTATAAAAATCAATGTGGAGAGTCCTCAAAAAACTTAAATTAGAGGTTCTATTTGACCCAGGTATTCTCCTTCTTGGTGTCTTCCCACAAGAATTAGAAGGATCATACCACAGGGATATATGCACACCCATGTTTATAGTGGCACAATTTGTAATAGCTAAATCTTGGAAACAGCCCAAGTGCCCATCAAGTGGAGACTGGATAAAGAAGATTTGCCTTCTTTTTTTTATACAATGGAGTACTGCTCATTCATAAAGGATTAATATTAGACATTTCTAGCTAAATGGACGCACCTTGAGATCATACTCTTAAGTGAAATAAATTGGACACACATATTCAAAAATCACTTGGATTCTCTGGTGTGAGAAACTAAAAGTGTAAATAAGGACTAAAATGTATAACAGATATTGTGAAATAGGAAGAAAATGTTGAAGTGGGAAGGTGAAATAGGGGGGAGGGGGAAAAGAAGGCAGGGAAAAGGGAAAAAGAAAACAGAAGGAAAAAAATGGAAACAAAGCTTCTGTAAATAAGGAGGGGAAGAGGGATTGAAGGGGGAAGGGTAAAAAAGAAGAATTAAGATATATCATGTATAGGTACAAATTCCATATAATGCATGTTATCATTATGTATACCTAAAATGTACCAATAACATTAATTTAAAAAAAAGAAAACTGCAGCTTTAGAACTCAAAGTTACCCAATGTTACAATGACTTTTGCCTTTTAGGAAACTCACTTCACAAAACTTCTAAGGATTTTAAAGATTGGGGCATGCTTTTCACCTGTAAATTGAACCTCTCTCTTTTTCCTCCAATATTGATTCACAAGTTCCACAGACTTTCACCCTCAAAGAATCAGCACTATCAAGTAGGTAGCGTACCTATAAACTTCAAACACATGCAAATGGCTTGCATTCTAACAGCCCATTGAAGGGATCTCCAACAGTCACTGGGAATGCACATTCTAAATCAACTGTCTGGAGGTCATCCTCAAGTCCACATAAAACCCCCAAGCTGGGACCACAGTGCCCCTCTCCCACAGTGTTTTCTCTGCGCGTGTACTTCTTTAATTCTGCTTAATAAACCTTTCTATGCCTCTCACTGACACATTCTGCAAATCTGTTCTGTGATGTAAGTCAGCAAACCCACAACCTACACTGTGGGTGGGGATTAGTTGGGGTCTGGGGGTGACATCGTGGGGCCCTGTCCAGTGACAAAGCCTCCATGATGTCAAGCAGGAAACCCACCCAGATGGTCAAGTACAACAGACCTAGGGGAGCTGTAAGACCCTTGCAAATCTTCTGGTGAACACTTCTATGGGGTAACAGAACATGGGGGCTAGACTTAATTAATGATATTTTCATCTCATCATATTGACCACAGATTTTTTTTTCCTCTTCCCAAGATCACTGTTGGAGCTATATGCAAGGAAAAACTGCAAAGAGGTTTTCTTTTTGAAAATGCCCTTTTCCACCCAGGAATCTGACAAACAAAACACCACTTTCAGATTAATTTATTGTGAGAGTAAATATTTCAATTCCTATTACTTGCCCCCTCCTAATTGTTCCCTGTTAGTTTGAGTGCAAATGATGAAGATGCATGTAATACATAAAGCCTACAAATATAAAATTCTCTTTCTAGAAAAAAGAATAAAATCATAGGGTTATGAAATGAAGAGTAGAGCAAACTATATTTTTTTCACTGCTCACCACAAGAGGCAAAAAAAGTACCATGGTTTTTTCCAGTGTGTGAAAAGAAATAAATAGATATGTGTAACAGTTTTACTTGGCAGTTACCTGTAGTCATTAATTACTCTAAATTATTTGTCGATGTCATTTCATGGTATTTCCCTAACAATTCACGCAACATTTTGAACAATGAGCAAATTTTTTCCTGAATAACACTGATAATAGAGAAAGGAGTCTGGACCTCAGATTAAACCAATGGCCCAGGTCACCTTGTGAAGGTGGGTCGGGAGATGGGAAAGCAGAGAGTATGAACTTTTCCTTTAATTATGCTTGCATTGCTTGAATTCTCACATCAGCATAAATTTATTTTGTAATTAAAATACAATCCAATAGAGTATAAATCATAGGAATATAGAAAAATTAATATATTAAAATTGTTTTACTATTTTCTACCTAGTTAAATGGCAGATAACTTATACAATAAGAAAATTTTTAAGAGATGCTCTAGGCAAATAGTTAAATACACAAAGATTTTAGGAAATACAGAGTGGTTCAATTTGTGACAAGTAAATGTTATTTCTAAGCTACCACGTTTTGTATTAGATGTTTGCTGTGTCTTTTCCTAAATTTCCTCGTGACAGAAGAGTGACCTCTTTGAATTTCAAACACTAATGATCCCTTTTCCTGCATCTTATTTTATCTTGAAGATCTGACTCATAAGCAAATCATGATGTCACTCTTCAAACTTGTGCTAAATGTACTCATCCTCTTAATAACCACAAAATTATTTTGCCTGTCCTTTGTAGGCATGACCCACCCACCCACAATATCACAATAGCAGAGCTAAAAGCTGAGCAGCTGTTGAAATGCCTGAGATAAGAAAGGCTGTAAATGCCTGTTTACTCTCCTGTGATTTATATTCAATTTATGATGGTCATTATAGCAGATACACTTCACTTAAGCAAGAGCTCGGTCAAGTCCTACTCATCAAACACATTCGTCCTTTCTTTCCCAGGACAGCAGGTCCTTTGTTTCATTAAAAGCACTGCAAATACAAATTGAAAATGGGAAGATGAAAGAAGTCAGCAGTGGCAATTAATTTTATGGCTGGTGCTATAAGAGTGTAACTCTTCTTTATGACCACCATGCTTTAGCTCATTTTACCTGCTCAGTCTTTCCGTGGAGCTGGAACACTGGTCTGAAGTGTTCACCTATCACCCTACGGTATACAAACCTGGTCAGTAACCCTAATGCCTTAAAAAACAGCCAGAACAGAAAACAAAATTAATTGTGGGATAATAATAGGAAGATTTTTAAAACTGCAACACAATATTGTCCAGGAAATTTAACTGTATAAAATTTCCTGCCCATTTGTATGGTTTGCTATTCTGTTAATCTAATGATGTTCATGAAATAAACAATAAGGTGATGTACAGATATAAGGCTTTCTCTATTTCAAATATTTTATAAATTTTAACATTTCTATAAATGAGCTGATCACAGAAAAGACAACCGACAGTGGAGTAAGAAAACAAAGAATAATTCCTGTTTTCCAGAAATCCTTTCTGGCCCCAACTCAAAAACATCAAACATTATGGGGAAATAGAAGGTGCTTTCCCAGATTCTGGCAAATTCATTCTCATGGAAGTGTGACCTGGTAGCATGCATACACATTCTACATGACTCTTACATTTCCACTGACCTCTCTCAGGGCAGTAATTCAAGGTCTGTTGTGCTATGATAGCGCCTTTTGAGTTAACAGATTTTTGTCTCTCTCTGACACTGTATCAGCTCCATTCATAACAACTCTTTACTGAGTGGTGCCAATGGAAACAGTCTGCATCCAATGAGACTGTCCAAATGCAAGGTTTGTCATCCTAAGAAAATACTGGAAATCAAATATGAAGGTGGGCTATGCAGCTCCCTGGAATTCTGAAGTCAAGCAGGTTGTGCTGTTGAAGGACACTCTTCTTCCTGGTGAGCCTGGCTGTCTCTGCTTTCACTCCCCTTGCCAAGGATCTGCACACCGAATTTCCACCCTCTTTATTGCATCCTCTTATCTATCTCAGATCTCCTTACTGATTACTACATTTAAAATGTTTGGCAATGCTCTAACAGGAGGCTGAGAGTCGCTCTCCCTTTTCCATCTTCTTTGGGGAGTGGCTGCATCTTTGGCCACACGTAGTAGGCCATGCCACTCACAGATATTTTTAAAGCTGTAACGGCTTATAGCTTTGAGCAACGGGCAGGTTTAACCAAGCTTTTTACTCACTTTCTTTATTTTTAAGCATCTTTTATATTTTTAAAGGACCCCAGTTAGCAGCAGGGTGGCATCACTCAGGGACTACCTGCCCGAAGACGAGGTGACTTGCCACCAAGTTGGCTACAAGCAAAAACTTCTTTCTAACTAGAGAGGAAATTAAGCAGGAATATGGAAAGTATTAAAAAAACATGCACAAACACTCACAGTTTTGGTTTGGCAAGCAGAGGTGGTGGCTCCTTAGTAGGCGAAAGCAGGACAGCTGGTGTTGGCAGAGATTTATTACCATTAGCTTTGCCGTTGATCAGTCCATTTACTCCATGGCTGGGATGGACTCCATTCGTTTCCCTCTCAGCAGAATTGAACTGCATGTGAAGGGCTGCCATACTGAGGCCGAAATCAGGGCTGTTCCCCTGTTGGATCTCAGATGGTTTCTTGGAAGCCAACTCAAAGGAATTTGCCTCCAAGATGGGAGGGGGAGGTGGAAAGTGATCGTTGTTGGAATTTCCCATTGTACTGTAACTGCAGCTTTCTGTGTTGGTTAAGGGAGGGGAAAGAGAGGAAAGGAATAATAAGATGCTACTAGTTCAACAATTAATTTTCACACTGTCATAGTTCAAAGAATCCCTGTGTCCTGTTGTTAGAGAAGAGGTAGTGTGCTGCTCTCATTGGACACAGAAGCACTGCCAACTGGAGGCCCAGCTCTTCCAAGCTTGTTTTGAGTGACTGCTACTTGTCTCACTTCCAGACCGAGCTCACAAATGGGGAAACTACCTACCAATTGTTCATTAGCAAGTTTTAAAGGATAAAGATAAACTCAGTAAGAAAAAATGGCAACAGAAACAGTATCAACCAATAATGTTTTGTTCTTGCACTTTTTAGCCCATGGATGCAATGGAACATCCTATTTGTTTATAAACAGTAGCTCAAGCTATAAAGGTTTTATGTGGATTTTCTCTATTTTAGAGCTAAGGAAGTAAAGCCATGAGTTCAAGCAAAATGTCTCATGATCTCACAGAAAAATATTTTTCAATGTCAAATGATTGCCACAACTGCACCCCAGTATAAGAGATTTTTTTTTTACTTGTTACCCTCAACAGAATGAAATTCAGAGTCGAAGTATGTTGTTTGAGCACTGCTTTGCTACTGTGACCATTTGATAGGACAGTCTTCAAGCCAACTCAAAACCAAAATACTGGAATATTTCCTGCTGAGTTTCTCCAATTATGATACTGGGGTTTCCTTTGACCACTTAAAGTGCTCATTCATTTAATCACTTCTTCATTAAGGTGAACTCCGAATTTCGAATTTCTATTCTTAATTAAGATGAAAAAGCATTTGCAGTTTGGACTCGTAACATTCCCAAACCAGTTTTGGTTGTGCCTCTGCTGCCACCTAGCCCCAAGATATTCCTCTTTCAGGAATCAAAAGGAGAGTCAATTGTTCTCTCAAAATCTGTTTTATTCAACTAGAGACTCACTTATTCCTTACAGTGTGAATTGCTAGTTAGGTGGCAGGCTCAGTCAAAGAGATATTTAAAAAGTCTTTGTAAGATTACTAACAGAGATGAGGAAATCAGCATAAGCTAAAGTAAAGTTCAATAGTAATACTCGAAAATACAGAGTCTGCTAGAAAAATGTATACACACTTCATGAAAAGAAAAAATAGTATGATGCTTTTTCAAAAGATGGTGTTGCCCTCATATGGGGGACCCTAGAGGATGTTGTATATGGCAGAAAAGCTACTACATTGCTGGCTCTTAGAGAAGAAATTGAAAATGCACATTCAGCAATCTCAATGGCCAAGGTTACCCAAGCAGCAGTTTGCCATACTAATAAATGTCTGGAAGCGAATGGCCATCACCTTAAGCACCTCTTATAATTGTAGAGGCCAAAGGTAACTTGTATTAATCTCATGATGTTTCAATAAATTTAGTGTTAAAATATTTATACAAGTTTTTCTTTTCCTGAAGTATGTATACATTTTTTTGGCAAACTCTGCAGTCAACTAAATGCATAAAATAATTAAAAAAACAAAAAGCTGTTTTATATTTCCTTCAGTTGTGGTAAGTTTTTGAATTTAGAAAATGTCCATATATTTTTAAACATTGGTTTCAATACTAGAATATATTGGTTTATTTTTCATATCAAAGTTATTCACTATCATGAGCTATACTATCAATGAAATTTGATTTTTAAGATCTGTAAAGCTCTTCTGAATTACACCAGATTTATCTTGCATTACTACTTTTTTGGTACTGGGGATTGAACTCAGGACCTTGCACTTGCGAGGCAGACATGTTGCCACTGAGCTAAATCCCTGGCCCCTTGCATTACCTTTTCAGAAGCTTCAATAGAGGATTAGACAATGATATACTTGTAAAAGTACCTCTAGATCTCCTGTTTACATGGCTGAGAACAGAGCTGTACCTCTGATTTAGAGGTGACCTTCTGAGGTGAATATGATTATAGGTTACCATGAAGGTGTTTGGAAACCAGCTCCATTGTTTTGAAGACCAAGATGGCATTATTTAAAAAATAGCTCCAGAGTACTCAGTTGTTACAGTATCATTATCTTGTTTGTCATCCCAACCCTGCCCGCTGCCCCCCCCCCCCAAGCCTTCTGTTTCCAGATGAAAGGCTGATTGTTCTGGAAACTCCTGGAGTGGCAGCCAGCATTCCTAATGGCTGACACTACCTGGGACAGTTGCTTTCTGCGGTGGCAAAGCACACTAGAGCAGAGAAAAAAACCCAGTCAGTTGTGACTTCTCACATACCTGAGGAGACAACTAGCTGGGCAGTGCTGGTCACTGATCCAAAATCATTTCTTGCTGAACAGGTAAAGATCCCTGCGTCTTCAGGGAAAGTCTCAGCGATAACAAGGGTACAAATCTCCTCTGGAAATGAATTTATCAGAGTGAAGCAAACCATCAAGTCACCTTGAAGCAGTCAGGCCCTCTTTTCCAACTTCCTTTCCAACATCCTCCCATTAGCAAACTTTTTAGGCCTGTAGAATAATGCTTTCCCCCTCAATTCGACCATTAATGAAAATGAGCTAATCTGTCACAGAACACAATGTGTCTATCAAACCCTGAAGAAAAAATTAATAACTATGGATAAAAGTGCTATCATATAATAAAACTTTTTTGTCTATTAACAAGATCTTTAAGTATTTCGATTTTTTACATGTAGAGTAATATGTTTCAATGTAAACAAATTAAACAATGAAGTATAAAATGAAAATTAAAAGCCTTCCTTTATAATCCAATTCCCTCTATATTTAAAACGCCTAATGTCGTTCCCTAAAGGTAAACATAGTGTACTGTAATTTTTAAAAAATTAATGTATTTATCCTTTCAAAATGTATTCAAATATTATCAAAGTATACAGTTTTTGATGCAGCATTATAGGATCAAATATATATGGTTTTTGTATTAGCAAGCACTATGACCTACAGGCATCACTGAGTATTATTTTATTTTTCACTCCTTCTTGGGCTTTATCTTACCAGTAAACTTTACCCCTTCTCTTTTTCTGATGATGTTCATAGTTATCTGGTTAATGGACTGCTTGAGATTTTGCTAAAAATTAAAAATGTGGCTTGCTTTTATTTCAAAATGTTACGTCCTATGGAAAGACATGATCTTGCTTTTGAGATTTTTAACAGTAATACTGCTCAGTGGAAACTTGTTTGTAAGATACAATAACGAACGTTCAGGAGTTTTGAAAAAACACATTTTTTCAGCATATTATTCAGTGTTATGTTTAAATGTGATATGAGAAACTAGGTCAAATGTAGAACATAAATAAAAATAAATAATATCTTAAAACAGATTATTTAAATGGTAATGGACAAATGACAGAAGAAAAAAAGCAAGATTTTACCTTTTTTGAGTTAAGTTAAAGGGATAGTCTATTCATTTATTTATTGTGATTGAGATAGAAAACTAGGAAACTATAAGACAGAGATGGAGAGAAAGTAAAGGCAGATTTCCTACATACTTCAGTAATGGAAAGTAAATGAGTGGAGATTAAAGGATACTTAGGCTTCTGCTTCTGTTTTAGTTATTATTCTCAAATGTTTTTTTATGAGTATATATCTACAATATATAACAATATATTTATCTTGGGAATTTGTGCATATACCAGATCTTAATCATTTTTAAACAAAGGTTCTACTTATAAGGTATCTAGTCAAACTCTCAGCAGCAGACAACTGAGTAGTGGTGAACAGGCTGCAGGGGGTGGGCATGGGAGTTGCTGTGCAGAAGGGACAGAGCTGCAGACATTCAAGATGAAAAAATTCTAGAGATCTGCTGTACAACACTGTTGACAACAGTTGACGATACTGTACTGCACAGAAATTTAAGGAGGCAGACATGATATATATTTTTACTACCATAAAGAAAAAAGTAATAAAATATATTTAATACAGTTAACTGCTAATTTAGATAAAACACTATACTATAAATGTAAAGAAGTTAATATAAGATAGATTTTTATTTTTTTGTAGTACTGCTGATTGAAGCTGGTCCTCGCACATGGTAGGCAAGTGTTCTACTATACTACTGAGCAACACCCCTAAGCACTTTGAAAATTTATTTTGAGACAGGTACTTTCTAAAATGTCCAAGCTGGCCTCAAACTTTTCATCTGCCTCAGCCTCCGGAGTACCTGGGATTAAAGGTGTGCACCACTGTGCCCAGCTCAGGAAAATATTTTGAGATAAATTCTGAAATCTCCTCCCAGGCACAGCTCCAAAAGCTTTTAGAATTCATCTATCTACTTGTTGAGCATTTTTAAGAGTATGCTGTCATAATACCATACAGCTGCAGACATGAGAAAAATAATGTATGGTTCCCATACTCAAGTTGTTTGTATTCTTAGAGGGGTGAGCCATGTCTTTTCATGAGGATTTGAATTAGAAAATCGCCAGATCTATTCCAACTCCAAAATTTGACATCCTCAGTGCACACATGCCATGAGGATAGATTAGTCTTCTCTTTCCTACAAAACCATGTTGTCCTAAAAGACACTTAAGCTAGCTGCAAATGAAAATGTTCATTAGAAAGTGCTGTTTTGCAAAAATTTCTTAAAATTTAAGATGCAAGTAGGATATATAATGTAGAATTAAGATTTTTTATGTAAGTAAAAAAATTCCTGAGGAAAAGAAGAAAAAATTCCTAGTGTTTATGTTTATTTCAGACTTCTGGATGGATTACAATTCGAGTTGACTATGCAGTATTTTCTTTTAAATTACCAAATATTAGATACACTCTAATTATCCTATTATTACAAAGACAGGCTCTGTCTGCATTTTTTCTACCATTCTTCTTGATAGCTTTGCAACTCTTCTTATTTAGTCTGTAAAGATAAAACCAATCATAGTTTCCTGAATTGTCATCCTTTCCCTTGTATTATTTTTTATTTGTAAATTTTATGTTTTTAAATAAGTAATACAAATATGTGGTATAAAATTTTAAAAGTAAAAATAGATGTATAATTCTCTGCCTTTTAAATAGTTATGTTAATAATTTCATGAGGGACCCAGGCATGGTGGCACATGCCAATAATCCCAGCACGTGGGAGGCTGAGGCAGGAGGATTGCCTCCAGTTTGAGGCCAGCCTGGGCTACATAGTGAGTTCAATGCCAGCCTGAATTATGTAGTGAGAGCCTATCTGAAGAAAACACACAAAATTTTTTCATGAGTGTTTGAATTTAAAATAAAGACATTTATATATGTATATATATATATTTCAGCTGATTTGTAGACTATAATTTATTGCAAAGAGAAAACAGAACTACATGATTTCAGATTAAATATTTCTATATATATATATATATATATAATCCTTTTCATTTGTGCATCAGTGTTTGAAATAAAGAAAAAGTACACCAATTTCAAAAGAGCTCTATTTCAACTAAAAGGTACTTTGAGTTCTTAATAATGTTGCTTTGTTTCAAATAAAACAACACTTTTCTTTTCAGTGGAATGACAGTATCACTGAAGTCTTTCTGTGCTGAAAATGGTGAGAAATATTTGTTAACTAAAAACTCAGTTCTAGTCTTTTCATAGTTACCTGAAACTTGTTTTGGGACAATATAATGTGACCTTACTGGGTTATACTGCAGCAGTTAGTTTTGTCTATGGCAACCTAAGCCTCATCTGACTCATGAGGGTGGCAGCTGACTTTGATGGTTCCTTTTCATGTCTCATCACTGAGCAACATAAGGTATTTTTAAAAATTTTATGATCAAGACAGACCTTTCAAAGACATGTTTGATATATTCAGTGTGAAGGTGGACTTGTACGACTAGCACTGTATGAAATTTTCTGGCTTTCCCAGTATTTACCAATATAGAAAATAAAGCTAAGTTGGTTCAATATTAGCAGTAAAATAGTCAATTCAGTAGCATATACAATAAATTAAAACTGTACAAATATTAGTGTGGTCTCTGTGCAGGGATGATGTGCAAATTCATTAAGAGTTTCATATTTTTTGCATTATTCTTATGATATGTCAGTATGCAGTTTGTTTTTAACACTACTTTTGTTGCTGATTTTTTCACTATCATCAGTGTGGCATAGTTGTTGCTATTAATTGTTTTTCTCTGTATGCCAATATCTGGATTGCCTTTAGGTCATTCACAATATTTTAGCTTATTCCTGGATGCTTGGGTGCTGAGCCAATTATACTGCATCTTCTCATCCAAAATTAATGGAGGTGGTTGAATCTTGGAACAGAGGCAAAGGTCTATAATGAGCCACATCCAGAGATCTCCATACTGGCAACAGTCTTTCCACTAGTACTGACCCTCAAACTTCAGCGTAAAACAAAACAAAGAGCAATAGGAACATAAGAAAACAAGGCAACAAAATTCCTGTAAAAACTTCCAACTCCTCCAAAGCTAATCCATGGGGCATCGAAGGGTTAGAAATCAAAAGCCACAGAGCTGGATTATTCAAAATGATAAAAGAGGAGATCAAAGATCTAAATATTAAAACAGAAACACTAAGTCTGCTGGAAGATAGAATAGGCAGAGCTCCTGAAGACACTGGTGTAGGCAAAGACTATGAACAAAACCCCATCACATAGGAAATATCACAAAGAATCAACAACTGGGATCTCATCTTATGAAAAAGCTTTTGCAAGCAAGAAAAACCATCAAGTGAAGAGACAACCCACAGTGTGGGCAGAAATTTTTGCCAGTTGCTCCTCAGACAAAGGATTAATATCTAGAATATATAAAGAACTCAAAAATAAAAAAATCAGAGCCCCCCAATTTAAAGACCCAATCCAAAAATGGGCATCTAAAATGAACAGCCACTTCTCAGATAAAGAAGTAGAAATGGCAAATAAATACATGAAAAAATATTCAACATCACTGGTCATTAAAACAACACTGAGATTCCATCTCACTCCAGAAAGAATGGCTATTATCAAGAAATCAGCCAATAACAAATGCTGGAGGGGCTGTGGGAAAAAGGAATCCTTTTCCAATGCTGGTGGGAATGTGAACTGGTGCAACCACTATGGAAATCAGTGTGGAGATTCCTCAAAAAACTAAAACTGGAGGTTCCATTTGACACAGCTATTCCCCTTCTTGGTATCTTCCCAGAAGAATTAAAAGCATCATACCACAGTGATATATTCACACCCATGTTTATAGTGGCACAGTTTATAATAGCTAAATCTTGGAAATAGCCCAAATGCTTATCAACAGATGAATGGATAAAGAAGATGTGGTTTTTTTTTTTTACAGTGGAGTACTACTCAGCCATAAAGAAGGATAAATATGAGACATTTCTAGCTAAATGGATGCACCTTGAGACCATACTCTTAAGTGAAATATATCTAACACACATGGGTAAATATCATATTGTTTGTCTCGTATA